AACATGTGACGTTTATAAACTCCTGCATACCGACTGCTTAATTTTCAAAGTTGTCAAGTTCCTAAATTCATAATATTCCAAAAATTAGATCACCAAATCATTAAATTCTGACACTGCCATATTCAGGTCAAATCCACATCCATATTAGCAGATCAAAATTTTTCCAAAGTCTAAATCTTCTGAATTCTTAAGACCCCAAATCCATGCATCTCCAAATTAAAAATTACCCAAATTCCAAATGTCCCAAATCACCAAATCCCCAAATTCTGACACTTCCACTTTCAGGTCAAATCCACATCCACATCACTAGATTAAAAATTTCCCAAATTCCAAATCTTCCAAACTCTCAAGCCCCCAAATCCATGCACCTCAAAATTAAAAATTACCCAAATTCCAAATGTCCCAAATCAGCAAATCCCCAAATTCTGACAGTTCTACCTTCAGGTCAAATCCACATCCACATCACCAGATCAAAAATTCCCAAATTCCAAATCTTCCAAACTCTCAAGCCCCCAACTCTCCTCATCTCCAAATAAAAAATGATCCAACTCCCAATCTCCTAATCACCAAATCCCCAACTCCCTAATTTTGCAATTAGCACATCATCCCCCAACATCCTCACGCCTCCAATTTCTAAATTTCCAATTCTGACATCTCGCCAAATTCCCGAATCCCTAAATTCTAATTTCGAAGCGTCTTCCACTCGAAAGTTCCCTGAAATTCCACCCGTACGAACTATGTTTCATCCGCGAAGCATGCCGTTTACCAAAATTCGCAAGCCCCCACAAAGATTAAATTTCGCAGTTTTCCGACAAACTTTCCAATCTCGATGCACAAAGGCTTCGCGCCGATAAAAATCGTCCGGATGCAACTTCTCGTCCCACTTCAGGATTATAACACAGCCATCGGAATTTTCTACGAATCTCGTTAATCGAACGAAATTTTCACCCTCCATTTTCTCTGATCGCTGCCAGTAGATCGGACAATCTCGTTTACCCTACGATCAACGATTCTTTGCGCTTGTAGATTGTCGCATGAATTATTTATAAATCCGGGAAGATCGGTTCTGGGAAAAAAGGAAGATCCTTCGCGATAACGCGATAAGCTCTCGCGAAAGCAAACGTGTAAATCCAAGGGTGCGTTTGTTTCGCATTTTAGAGATTGTTTGTTCTGTGTTCCGGGATAGAAGGTTTATTGGATGGATCAAACAATGTGCTAAACGGAACCTTTTCTTTACTGTTTTACGGTCAAAGAAACGTTCTTTCGGATATTAGATTTTAAGCCGTACGTAAATATAATTTAAGTGAACTTCCTATGTATGTATGTACTATGTATATGATGTATGTACTTTATGTATGTGGGAGTTTAACCTCTTACTGTACTTTGACGAGACGGTATCGTGAGGCACTCACAGTTCAATGTAGGAATTTGCAAATGTAATTATTTAAAAAGTTGGAAATTTGGGAAGGTAGAAATTTGCAAATATAATAATTTGGAAATTTGGAAATTTGAGAGTGTAGAAATTTGCAAGTATAATAATTTAAAAATATGAAAATGTGAGTGTAGAAATTTGCAAATATAATAATTCAAAAATTAGGAAATTTGAGAGTGTAGAAATTTGCAAATATAATAGCTAAAAAATTTGGAAACTTGAGAGAGTAGAAATTTGCAAATATAATAATTTAGAAATTTGGAAATTTGAGAGTGTAGAAATTTGCAAATATAATAATTCAAAAATTTGGAAATTTGAGACGGCAGAAATTTGCAAATATAATAACTAAAAAATTTGGAAATTTGAGAGAGTAGAAATTTGCAAATATAATAATTAAAAAATTTGGAAATCTGAAAGTTTGAAAACTTACAAGTCCACCACTTTATAAATATACGAGCTCACTAAATCAAAGATCTGACCACATAACAGCTCCGAATAGCAGCTAATTAAATAATATCCCGATTAGCGCGTTATTTGCCCACAACTGACTCGATCCAATTATCGGCTAAAGTCGCTAATCTATCAAATTGGATTTCATCGATTCCGCCAGCGACGCAGTGAAACGATCGCATTCAGAAGCAAATCGATGTAAACATACGTTCGTAACATTGATGTTCTTTGATCTGCTTCGTTTTCATATGGTTCATACCGAATTGACGGATTTCCGTGTTGCGTTTCGTAACACCGCCTAAATTCATGAGATAGACGCGCGAATGAACATGTTGTTTGCCAGCGAACAGCGGGAAACAAAACGTTCGTCGAAACCGATCGATCATATCGATTCACGAAAATAATGAAGCATCGAAATGCTCTCGGCTTCTACACGTGCGGCGTGGAATAACAAGCAGCGGTCGTGTAAACCGATCAAATAGAAACCTTGTCTACAATTTTACTTTGCATTTGCGTTTTGTATTCCAACACGTTTCGCTGTTGTTTGCGACACGTTTGTCAAGTTTCATAGTTCACTGTTTTATCGCGTTCTTTTAATTGCTTTTTCCATTACACCAGTTTCGTTCTGTACTCTTGAAATATTGCTCTATTTTGCAAACTTCAAAATAAAGTGCATTCAAAATTTGAGTATAATTGATTATAGTCAGACGAATGTATCACTCATGTGTCACGAGTCAGACAAGTGCGTCATGAGTTAGACAAATGCGTCGCGAGTCAGACAAGTGCGTCACGAGTTAGACAAGTGCATCACAAGTCAGACAAGTACATCACGAGTCAGACAAGTGCGTCAAGAATTAGACAAGTGCGTCAAGAGTCAGACAAGTGCGTCAAGAGTCAGACAGGTGCGTCAAGAATCAGACAAGTGCGTCAAGAATTAGACAAGTGCGTCAAGAGTCAGACAGGTACATCACGAGTCAGACAGGTGCGTCAAGAATTAGACAAGTGCGTCAAGAGTCAGACAAGTGCGTCAAGAGTCAGACAGGTGCGTCAAGAATCAGACAAGTGCGTCAAGAATTAGACAAGTGCGTCAAGAGTCAGACAGGTGCGTCAAGAATCAGACAAGTGCGTCAAGAATTAGACAAGTGCGTCAAGAGTCAGACAAGTGCGTCAAGAATCAGACAAGTCCGTCACGAGTCAAACAAGTGCGTCACGAATGCGTCACGAGTCAGACTCACTAAAAGGACTAATCCCTTGCACTAATACATTTAAAACATTTAAATACATTTAATCTATATATCTCATTCCTGTTCCACTTAAATGTCTACAGTACTTTAATCTTTGAATACACATTTGAACTTACATGACGCACCAGGTGCGTACAAGGTAAACAGTAACAATGTGCGCCATAGCAAAGGAATGCGATTGAACCAAAACGTTCCAGAGACAAAAGTTAGAATTCGGTTGAACGCATTCGGACCGTGTTACTCGCAGATAGCAAGCCATTCAAAGTAATCCGGTTAATAATAGGTAGAACCTGAACCTAAGGAGTTTCGTAGCGAATAGGTCAGACAGGTTGATATCGTAACGAACAGTGAAGGTAGTCAAGCCTGAAGACAGAACGAGCTTCCTTCGGTAACATTTAATTAAACGTATTCAGAAATTCTTGCTCTTTACGGCAGCGTATCCCGATTCAACGGATCCTCTCGGATTTTCAATGGAACTGCTTTTATGAATTTAATGGCGCAATTTTATGATATCGTTCCACCTCCGCGATTCCGGACCACTCTAACATCTTCGATTCTATTTTATTAGGAAAACTTTCCCATTTATTTTAGTGGACGATAATAGATTTTTTGGATTATGTTCGATCCTGGATTAGGTGGAATTATTGCTTTCCGTTAGCGCGATGATTGTTCGGGTATCTGAGAATTTGTGCGTTTGGGGATTTGTGGAGCTGAGGATTTGGGGATTTGGGAAACTTGGGGGAGGGGAATTTGGCAATTTTAGATGGGGGCAAATAGGGAATTTGGGGAGCTGAAAATTTGGGAAATAGGGGATTTGGAAATTTTGGAATTTGGGATGTGGGGAATTTGGGCGCTTGAGAATTTGGGAAATAGGGAATTCGGGCGCTTGAGAATTTGGGGAATATGGAATTCGGGCGCTTGAGAATTCGGGAAATATGGAATTTGGGTGCTTGAGAATTTGGGAAATATGGAATTCGGGCGCTTGAGAATTCGGGAAATATGGAATTTGGGTGCTTGAGAATTTGGGAAATATGGAATTCGGGCGCTTGAGAATTCGGGAAATATGGAATTTGGGTGCTTGAGAATTTGGGAAATATGGAATTCGGGCGCTTGAGAATTCGGGAAATATGGAATTTGGGTGCTTGAGAATTTGGGAAATATGGAATTCGGGCGCTTGAGAATTCGGGAAATATGGAATTTGGGTGCTTGAGAATTTGGGAAATATGGAATTCGGGCGCTTGAGAATTCGGGAAATATGGAATTTGGGTGCTTGAGAATTTGGGAAATATGGAATTCGGGCGCTTGAGAATTCGGGAAATATGGAATTTGGGTGCTTGAGAATTTGGGAAATATGGAATTCGGGCGCTTGAGAATTTGGGGAATATGGAATTTGGGCGCTTGAGAATTTGGAAAATATAGAATTCGGACGCTTGAGAATTTGGGAAATATGGAATTCGGGCGCTTGAGAATTTGGGGAATATGGAATTTGGGCGCTTGAGAATTTGGAAAATATAGAATTCGGACGCTTGAGAATTTGGGAAATATGGAATTCGGGCGCTTGAGAATTTGGAGAATATGGAATTTGGGAAATAGGGAATTTGGACGCTTGAAAATTTGAGAAATATGGAATTTGAATGCTTGAGAATTCGGGAACTATAAAATTTGAGTGCTTGAGAATTTGGAGAATAGGGAATTAGGAAATTTGAGAATTTGGTACACAAAAACCTACCCTTATCAGGTCAAGAAGCAGTAAACTTGCAAATAATCCCTTCCTAAAATTGTGACCCAATTTCCACCACTAAATATCCGAAAATGTCAGCCTATAAGGTTAATGATGGCGCACCATTTAACAAGTCTCCTTCTGCCTGTTCCAGGATACTGGCCATTCGGTGTTCTCTGGTGTAACGTTTACGTGACCTGCGACGTGTTGGCGTGTTCTGCGAGTATCATGCACATGTGTTTCATCTCGCTTGGTCGTTATTTGGGCATCCGTAACCCGCTGAGAACACGGCACACCTCCACTAAACGAATGGTCGGTTTCAAGATCGCGGCTGTTTGGCTGCTCGCCATGTTGGTTTCCAGTTCTATTACAGTATTAGGTAACGAGCATATTATTTCTTGCGAAAATATAATACTCCCTTGTTTTCCTTTCGTGCATCCCTTCGAAACAACTTATTTCGACGGGAAATCCGGATGGTTTATATCGTCGTCATTCGTGAAACATTTATGTAGTTATTTTTATCAAACTTCGAGCTGCGAGTTCGTGTTGCATGAGCGCCATTTTGTGAGACTCTTCTGTCATACGGTGGACGAAACGCGGTTGGAAATAGATTGAGTAAAATTAGTTGGCAGCCATTTTTTATTAGGAATATCAAATATATTTTTATATAGGTGCTTTTGTGGATCTTTAAGCTTTAAAATGATGTATTACAAGTATTACTTGAAGATACTTTTCTGTCATGAAATTATGTCAGACTTTATCGTTCGGAAATTGGTTCACTGCTCGCTGAAATTAATTGTCAGCCATTTTGTGGTTGGAATATCAACGAAATCTTTACGTAGTATTTTTCCTTGTTCTTTAAGCTTTAAAATGATGTATCATAAGTATTATTTGAAGATACTTTTCTGTCATGAAATTGTGTCACACTTTCCCCATTAGAATTTTGGTCCACTGTTCGTTAAAATTAATTGTCAGCCATTTTGTGTCCCGAATATCAACGAAACCTTTATGCAGTATTGTTTCTTGGTCTTCAAGCTTTAAAACGATGTATCATAAGTACTATTTCAAGATACTTTTCTGTCATGAATTTGTGTCAGACCTTGTCTTTAGCAACCCAGTTAGTTACATAAAATGCAATTGCAACAAAAGTTTCTTGAAATACCTCTCATACGTCCCTGACAAAAATCTGAAACTACTAAAATAGTGAAACTTTCCAAAAAAAGTTCGAAAAAGAAATAAACTTAAGAAGTTTGTCGTTGATCGTTGCGATGCAAACAGTTTCGAGAAAGCCGAATCAGGATCAATCGTATCGGGGAAATTGATTTCCGGACTAGGAATAGCAGTTCCTTTTTTTTCGTGTCGCTTCCGGTCCAACGACAGGGTAAACGGGAAAGTTGCGCGTACTGGGCTTCTTGCCTTCGATATTCGAAACTATTCCCGATACTGTGACCCAGGTCGATAAGTGATTACGTTTTTGCACGAATCCACGAGTTGTCTGTGCTCGTTCTCGGAATCAAATAATCCAGTTGAATAAAAAAAGTAGGCTGCATCGTGATTGTGCTGTGATTACTCTACGGACATTCTATTTCGTTGCATCTTTTTTGAACAGACTTCCTTATCATTCATTTTGTTTTTCTACTTTTCTAATTTTACACTTTACTGCTCAATTTTATAGTTTTGTAGTGATATACTTTTGGAGGCGTTCGATTTTATTTTTTATAGTTACACATTTTTGGAGGTGTTCCATTTTATTTATTTTTTTTTTATTGTAGGCCATTGCAGGTATGCAATTTTATAGTTTTATAGTTACGCTCTTTTGGGGGTGTTCAATTTTGTTATTTTATTATTGTAGGCCTTTGCAGGTATGCAATTTTATAGCTTCATGATTATTCAAGTTTAGTATTGTTCAGTTTTATAATTTTGTTACTGTACACCTTTACAAGTATAATTTTATAATACTACATCTTTAAAATTGTTCAATTTTATAATTGAACATCTTCAATGTTGTTCAATTTTATAATTGTACATCTTCAATGTTGTTCAATTTTATAATTTTGTTATTGTACATCTTTAAACCTATGCAATTTTACAATTTTATAATTGTACATCTTTAAAGTTGTCCAATTTTATAATTTCAACATTGTACACCTTTCAGGTATGCAATTTTACAATTTTATAGTTGAACATCCTCAGTGTAATTCAATTTTATAATTTTGTTATTGTACATCTTTAAACTTATGCAATTTTACAATTTTATAATAGTGCATTTTTAAAATTGTTCAATTTTATAATTTCATCACTGTACACCTTTACAAATGTACAATTTGTTAACTCCATAATTGTACTCCTCTACAATTGTACAATTTAAAAATTGTTCAACTACATTGTTTTACAGTATCAGAGTTTGTAGAGAATTTCATAAAATCCTCCTTGCAGGTATAATAAATCCATCGAATATAATGCCACGACCGGGTGCGTGCGTGATCAACAACAGAGCTTTCTTCGTGTTCGGCTCGCTGATCGCTTTCTACATCCCCATGATCGTGATGGTAGCCACGTATGTGCTGACGGTGCAACTGCTACGACAGAAAGCTCGTTTCGTAGCGGAATACCCTGAGAGAGATCAATTTCGCAGACTAGGTGGCAGATACTCTTCGACGGCGAAAACCTCCTCGACGTCGACGACAGGAACTACTACCACGGCGTCGTTATCCACTCGACACGCCTGGAGGACTTCCGGTACCGGTCTTGCTACCGATAGGTAACAATTCGCTATTCAGACTTTCCTTACCACTCCATTCTTGCTTTGCAATTTATTCTCGAGCACTCTCCTTCACATACGCAGTCTTTTTTTATTAACGTTTCACTTAGAGACGTTTCACTTAGAGAATTTCACTCAGAATTGTTTTAACGAAGTGGAGGAATTAATAGTAGAGGAACTATATTAATAATTGTAGTTGATATTGTTCATGGTAACCCTTTGCAAACTTGTTAATTTCCTTCACTTAATTTATAAAATTGTTTTGACGAAGTGTAGGAATTAATAGTAGAGGATCTATATTAATAATAGCAGTTGATATTGTTCATGGTAACCCTTTGCAAACTTGTTAATTTCCTTCACTTAATTTATAAAATTGTTTTGACGAAGTGTAGGAATTAATAGTAGAGGATCTATATTAATAATAGCAGTTGATATTGTTCATGGTAACCCTTTGCAAACTTGTTAATTTCCTTCACTTAATTTATAAAATTGTTTTGACGAAGTGTAGGAATTAATAGTAGAGGATCTATATTAATAATAGCAGTGTATATTGTTCATGGTAACCCTTTGGAAACTTGTTAATTTCCTTCACTTAATAAACTTGCAAATGTAGTTATAAACGTTGTACAAAACATTTGCAGAGTCGTTAAAATTGCAAATACGTAAATGTGATAATACTCTGCTAGAATTAAATCGAAATTGCAAGTTGGCAAATTGTAGCTTCGACTCCGAGCGTGTTAAGAATCGCGTGTTATTAATTAACGGCGTCGTGCGTCGGATTCGAAGGTGCATGTCTGTGTAAAGCAACGGTGGGTTTAACAGAGTTATATACAGTGCACCGTCGGTGTAAATATCGCAGATGCAAGGGTGCAAGAACGGGCAAGCAGCAACCGCAGTTGAATTTCAGCGTGAACGGGGCGGGCAGTCCGACCGGAAGCACCGTCGGGGCGAAACAGGGCTCGAAAGTGGATCAGGCCACTCAAACGCCTGAGAACATTGCCCGCGAAACAAGAAACTTCACTCTGAGAGCTTTGAAGCTGCAATTGAACGTCACGCCTACTACCCTCAATCTCAGGTGAATTTTTACCAGACTCGTTTATCCTTTTATCTCATCCTACGACTTTAAGTCTTGCACTATTCGACTCACTGTACTTTTCTTTCACAATAAAACTGATGGATTTGTTTACAGGTTTCTAGCTGGTCGCACGAAGAGGAGGTCCATGGCTGCCAACGCTGTGGCGACGGAACAGAAAGCTAGCAAGGTGTTGGGCTTAGTCTTCTTCACTTTCGTGCTCTGCTGGGCGCCATTTTTTCTTCTGAACATCTTCTTCGCCGCTTGCCCTGAGTGCTCGGTGCCCGTGCACGTGGTGGACACGTGTCTATGGCTCGGATACATGTCCTCCACTATTAATCCCGTTATTTATACTATATTCAATAAAACGTTCAGGGCTGCGTTCATCAGGTTGCTGAAGTGCAAGTGTTCTAGGTGAGATATGGTACTCTGAGGTACTTAGGTTTGGTGTAGGACTTTAGGAATGTAATGAGTTACAAATTTAAGGATGTGGAGTTTAGAATATGTTGAGATTTGAGGTTTGAACAGATCAGATTGTTAAGATTTCATGTTTGAAAATGTATAATTAAGTTCCAAACTTGTAAGTCTTTATTCTGCATTCAATTTGTACCAATGTTACACTGTAATGTTAAGATTTGATGTTTGAACATGTACAACTAAGTTCCCAACTTGTGAGACTCTGTTCTGCATCCAGTTTGTACCAATGTTACATTCTAATGTTAACATTTGATGTTTGAACATGTAGAACTAAGTTCCCAACTTGTGAGACTCTGTTCTGCATTCAATTTGTACCAATGTTACATTCCAATCAATGTATCTCACACAATATATCTCACACAATGTATCTCATTCAATGTATCTCATACATTAATTATTAGACATTAACAAATAACCTTGAAGGTTCTAATGATCAAATGTTTCCTAGATCGGCAAGGCCAACAAGATATCGTTCAGTGACAGAAGGTGGACGTAACGCGATGAGTCTGTGCACGCCAACAGCGCTTCCATTGGCCATTAGTCTTCAGGGAACGCCATTGTTGACCCCGACAACGAATCCCGCAGCAACCCCGGCTTCAGGAAGCTCGTACATGACGATGATGCATCGCACCCCCAGCTCCCTGTACCGTGACACCTTCCGTCAAGTCGAGCATGATCAGAATTGCTGAAAAGCCCGAGTGATTTTACCATGTAACGGATCTTGAATGTTTGTAGAGAGGAGATTTGTATTTTCTTGTGGTCGAATGATCGAAACCAAAGATTATCGTTAAAGAAACCCCGTAGCAATGTGGCTGTTATAAAAAGAATAGAGGTCAAAGTTTATGATTGCATGAAATAAACCAAAGAATAGAGTATACTGTTTCCCACCGTGAAATCATGTTGAACTTTCCTCGCTAACCTCCCGTAACTATTGTCTGTGATATCGACAAAACAACTCCCTAAGTTTATCTACCATTGTCTGTCATGGTGTACATTGTTGAAGATCATATGGCATTATTATAAAAAAGTAACGAACGTTGATACACATGATACATGAAATAAAATAGTAATTTAAATATTATTGTGGATTATGGACTGTTTCTACCTTTCAATTAATTGTAAACTTTTATATCTTATCGTTTGAGGGTTTTTAAAAAATATCTAGTAAGTATTAAATGTAGTATAGGAATATATTAAAAAATAAAGTATTAATTGTGTATGTGTTTTGTGTTTAGGTATGGAAAGAGTTGAAGAATCAAAGGAAAACTTGTGGAAGAGGATACATTAGTTTTTAATTAATTAATCTTTAATTATTGTAAATTAAAAATGTGGTGTATACTTGACGTACAATATTTCAAGTGTAAAAACTGTGTACATCGTATTTTATATTAATATTATAAGCTGCGTTAATTATTTACAACTTAAATTACACTATTTAATGTAGAAAAACAATAAAAATATGAAATAAAGGTAGAATATGCTTGTATATTTATTTAAAAGCACCTCTAACAAAAATAAATTTCGTAAACTGAACATTAGCAACATTCAAATTTTCGCGCGCCTCTCGGAAATACAAAATTGCATTTTTTTTTTAAATGAGGGATTTCTGCGCTATGCTGACGTTAGAATAGTGTTCTCTGATGAAAATGCAATTGAAATAATGCTGCAAAACTGTTCAGGAAGCCCTAGAATCGATAATTAAAATTTAATGCATTTCATGGACTAAAAATTTGCCGTCCATCTAGCGGTGAAAGTTGGAACTAACGAAACAGAAAATTTCGATTTTCTCGAAAACTAGGGACTTTTTCGAAATTCTGAGATATACAAATTGCTCCTGGTCGCCTAAGGAATCGAACGAATATAGTTACAACCCTCTAGGACCACTAGGAAAGAAAATAGAAAAAAGGTCCATTTCATGGACTAAAAAATTACCGTCCATCTAGCGGTGAAAGTTGGAACTAACGAAATAGAAAATTTCGATTTTCTCGAAAACTAGGGACTTTTTCGAAATTCTGAGATATACAAATTGCTCCTGGTCGCCTAAGGAATCGAACGAATATAGTTACCAACGAGTATAATTATAATCCACTAGGACCACTAGGAAAGAAATTAGAAAAAAGGTCCATTTCATGGACTAAAAAATTACCGTCCATCTAGCGGTGAAAGTTGGAACTAACGAAATAGAAAATTTCGATTTTCTCGAAAACTAGGGACTTTCTCGAAATTCTGAGATATACAAATTGCTCCTGGTCGCCTAACGAATCCAACGAGTATAATTATAACTCTCTACGATTACTAGGAAAGAAAATAGAATTTAATGCATTTTATGGACTTTTTCGCGGTTTAGTTCCAGCTTTCACCGCTAGATGGCGCTGCGAAAAAAAGTCCATAAAATGCATTAAATTCTATTTTCTTTCCTGGTGGTCCTAGAGGGTTATAATTATACTCGTTGGATTCGTTAGGCGATCAGGAACAATTTGTATATCTCAGAATTTCGAAAAAGTCCTTAGTTTTCGAGAAAATCGAAATTTTCTGTTTCGTTAGTTCCAACTTTCACCGCTAGATGGACGGCAAATTTTTAGTCCATGAAATGGGCTATTTTTCTATTTTCCTTAATAATGATCCTAGCGGGCTATAATTAGATTCGTTCGATTCGGTAGGCGACCAGGAACAATTTGTATATCTCAGAATTTCGGAAAAGTTCCTAGTTTTCGAGAAAATCGAGATTTTCTATTTTTGTAGTTCCAACTTTCACCGCTAGATGGACGGCAATTTTTTAGTCCATGAAATGCATTAAATTTTAATTATCGATTCTAGCGCTTCCAGAACAATTTTGTAGCATTATTTCTATTGCATTTTCATCAGAGAACACTATTCTAACGTCAGTATAGCACAGAAATCCTTTATTTTTCCAAAAAATGCAATTTTACTCTTGTCGAGAGACGCGCGAAAATTTGAATATTACAAAACCTACATTTTCAGTTTACGTAAGTTATTTCTTTTCAGAGGTGCTGTTAAATGAATATACAATTATGTTCTATGCTTTATCTTTATTTTATCCCTTCTGTACAACATGTAACAACATAATTTATATCTTAATTACTTTATTTACAATTAATATACATGAGAACTTATTCTATTTTCACAATTACCACAATATTACAAATAATACACTATTAATTCTAATTTAAATTGCACAGGAACTTCAAGGGACGTCCACTTCCTTCACCATCTCTTAATCTGTAATAAATAAATTAAATATATATTAATAAAATGGAATAATAGCAAAGGAAACATTGATTTCAGTTATCATATGTCGATAAGAGAGCTATCTGCTTTCTATTTTCATTGTATTTTTATTTTAAAAATTAATTTAATGGCACAGCAAGTATTTGATGCTGAAGATTAAAAAATTAAAAGTGTCTTCAAAATATTTGAGTTTCAAAAAATAATAAAAATAGTTATTCAATAGTTTTTATCTACTGACTGTTGGTATGTCAGAGAGATGATGCTGTTCAACAACAGATGGTACCATATCATATTAAAATCCTATTTATAAAGTAACATGAAACTTTGATACCAATATATATCTTCCTTTGTTAAATTGATACCCTATCAATTACTACACGTGCACATTTTGTGAAGTCTGAAACACCCATCAAAATATTCAATTACCTCTCTCTATCAATAACCACATCAAAATTTCAACATTCACAAATCACAAAATAGAAATCACAGCATCTTTTCCTAAAACGTTTGAACATTTTTAATAAAGTTGCTTCACTATCTCCTTTATTCAATGTTTAATTCTCCAAACAAGAATTCCAAAGCAGAGGAAAAAAGCGGTATTTACAATGGTGGGAGGAAGATCACAGGCTCTATTCTTCCGTGTCGTCACTCGTTTCATAATTATTTTAAAATCAAGGGAGCTACCCTTATTTACACGGTGCGTTAACCCTCTCGCTATCCCCTCGATCGCGACAAAAATTTCAATGCACCCTTAATGACGTTTTGCGTCGGTCAAAGTACTCGAATTATAATAATCTTTGTTTATGAAGTACCAATAGAAAACGAGATCCATCATAAAACTTATATAAAAAATGCCTGTATAAAGCTGTTGAAGAATTAAACAGTGACAATTCAATTCTGTATACTGTGACAGATTCAATTCTGTATAATTAAATAATTAAGTTCATTTTTATATATGATTGTAAACAAATAATTATGTTCATGTCCATATAATTGTAAATAAATAATTACTTCAAAAAAATTGACATAGAATTGAATTTTGAATTGAATCAAGTACTGTCAGAATTTTGTAGAAGCAATTTTGTGTAGTTGAATGTTGTACAAATTGAAACTCATTAAAATTGAAACTTGTGTATCAAGTCTACTCATGAGGAATTGAAATGTGTAGAATTGAACGTTCTGGAATTGAATTGTATCAAATTGAATCATGTTGCAATTGAATCAAGTGGAACTGTCACTTGTGGACATTAATTGTGTGGAACTGAATCACATGGGCTCTTGTGGAAATTAATTGCATGGAATTGAAATGTGTCAAGTCAAATGGAAGCACATTGAATTACGTGGAATTGAACTTTGTGGAATTGAACATTGTAGAGGTGGACTGTGTGGAACTGAATTTTGTGCAATTCAACCTTGCACAATTAAAACTTGTGGAATTGAATCTTGTGGACTTGAATTTCTTGGAATTGAACATTGTGAGAATGGACCATGTGGAATTGCACCTTGTAGAAGTAGACTGAGTGGAATTGAACCATGTGGAATAGAACTTTGTGGAATTATACCTTGTGGAATTGAAGCTTGTGGAACTGAACCTTGTGGAATTGAACCTTGTGGAAGTAAATCTTGTGGAATTGAAGCTTGTGAGATTGAAGCTTGTGGAATTGAAGTGTATGGAAGTGGAGCTTGTGGAATTGAACCCTGTGGAATTGAAGCTTGTAGAATTAAACCCTGTGGAATTGAACCTTGTGGAATTGAACCCTGTGGAATTCAAGTGTATGGAAGTGGAGCTTGTGGAATTGAAGTGTGTGGAATTGAAGCTTGTAGAATTAAACCCTGTGGAATTGAACCTTGTGGAAGTAAATCTTGTGGAATTGAATCTTATGGAATTGAAGCTTGTGGAATTGAAGTGTGTGGAATTGAAGCCTGTGGAATTGAACCCTCTGGAATTGACGCCTGTGGTACTGACCCTTGTGGAATTGAATTCTGTGGAATTGCACCTTATAGAATTGAACCCTGTGAAATTGAACCCTGTGGAATTAAATTTTGTAGAATTGAATCTTATGGAATTAAACCGATTGCAATTAAACCTTGTAGAATTGAACCCTGTAAAAATGTACCAACGCGAATTGAACCCAGCAAAATTCACTCCTATAAAATTGCAGTAAATAGAAAAATTGAATCCAATACTCTGCATCCAACAAGCTTCAAGTACCAGTCTTTCAAGTACCCCAGATAATTGGGATGCCAAAGGTCCATCGATCCTGTCGTTTCAGCGAATTACAAAGAGCGTCCGTTTTAACTTGTTTTTTCGCTGACTGATTCTTCAAGGGACGCCCACGTTGTACCATTTCAGAGATATCGATTTACCATGAACAAGTGATACCGTTTGTCTCGCAGAAAACAACCCTGTAATTGCTCCATTATGCTTTCAGTCGATTGAACGTCGATTCAGAGGATCGTGTGATTGGATCTCTTTAATTGATCCATTGATTAATTAGAGATCGGATATGACCGCTTGATTAGTCGATCAGGGTAATAATGCTTTATCAAAGGATTCAGGTTTAGAATCGTAACGAGATAAGTGTCGTTCAGAAATCATTACTTTAAATTACTCGTTAAATCAATGAGCAATTGATCATAATATCGATTAGGGATAACGTCGTTTGAGAGTTGTAATAAATTAGCTTCGGGAGTAGAGTTCAATTTAAATCAGGACTAACTTGAGTCAGGTCTAAATTGATATCTGACTTATATTAATTATAAAACTGAGTTAAATGACATTTGTAATAATTTAAAATCACAATCTTTTAAAGTCCCAATCTCTCAGAGTTCCAATCTCTCAGAGTTCCAATCTCTCAGAGTCCCAATCTCTCAGAGTTCCAATCTCCCAAAGTTCCAAACTCTCAGAGTTCCAATCTCCCAAAGTCCCAATCTCTCAGAGTTCCAATCTCCCAAAGTCCCAATCTCTCAGAGTTCCAATCTCCCAAAGTCCCAATCTCCCAGAGTTCCAATCTCCCAAAGTCCCAAACTTCCAAAGTCCCAAACTCCCAATCCCCAAACTTCCAAAGACCCAGCACTCAATCTCTACAACAAAATTACTCTATAACCTAATATAAATTAAACAAATAATTAAGAAGTTAATCTTATCAACAAGATAAGTTGAACTTAAACTTCACTTCAACAACTGCTTGATTACCTTCGCTCTCTTTAAGTACCAAAAGTACAAAAGCAACGCAAAATCGTGCATTTAAACCCGCCATAAAATCCTCCAAATGTCTTCAAGTCTTTCTGAACCTCCCCTATTCAAACATTTCCCCCCAGCATCCTTTTTCCTTTTCAGCTGGTTTTTCTGTAAGCATAGAACGGAGTCTGCGAAAACGACGAGCTAGGTGGGCGGATCGATGACCTTGAATCTCGGTGGAGCGACCATGAGTCACACTGCGGATCTCGTGTTTCCAGGAAAATTTTCCTGTAAACGCGACAATCGATGCAACCGACTTCCTGCAAGGGATCCCGCTGCTCGCTCATAATTTATCTGACTCATCGCCACGAGATACGTGCTCCTTTCGAAAGTTTGCCAATTTTCGTTTATCTACTTATACTAGCTGACATTATGCTTACATGTGCACATGTGATACAGAGGGAGAAGCTGATGATGGTACGTTGATGAAGATGGTATAATCAACGAATCTCTTAGAGTTCCAATTGTCTCAAAGTCCTAATCTTGCAAAGTCCCAATCTCCCAGAGTTCCAATCTCCCAGAGTCCCAATCTCTCAGAGTTCCAATCTTCCAAAGTCCCAATCTCTCAGAGTTCCAATCTTCCAAAGTCCCAATCTCCCAAAGTCCCAATCTACCAGAGTCCCAATCTCTCAGAGTTCCAATCTCTCAAAGTTCCAATCTCTCAGAGTTCCAATCTCCCAAAGTCCCAATCTCTCAAAGTTCCAAACTCCCAATCCCCCAAACTTCCAAAGTCCCAACATCCCAAATATCAGCACCCAATTTCTACACAAGATACAACACATCACTCAGCGGAATGCACCAAAAGTTCCACCATTGTCCCACAATAGTTTGGGGCATTCCCTGTCTACTGATTCCTCCACAATCTTTCACAACTGTTCTCACAGCAGGAAAGGTAAAACAGAAATGAAGGTTAGCCGAGATCGAAATAGGCGAACGGTATCAGTTTGTACAAGAGCAACAAATGTTTTATCAGTAGGACATTATACATGGTATCGTCTTATCGGCCTAAACGTGGTATTTAGGACGTTGCTACAGGCTGCTTCAAAACTGAACGACTCCAAAAAATTCCATTCAAAATATTCCATCATACTTAAGCCTTGCAACTAAATATCCCCGTATAATTCTTTCTCTTTCACTGTAACCTAACTTAAGTATAATTCTTTCTCTTTCCTGAAGTAACCTAACTTAGGTTAGGTTTACCATAATTATTTCACTAATCGTAACTGATACAGTGAACAACCGATACATTGAGTCTGAACTCGTTCGGATGTAGATTAAACAAATCGATCTGTATCTTTACGCTACTATTTGTATTGCGATAGCCGTTCGGATTCATTGAAAGGAAAATACAAAGTGTTCTCGGTAGCCCGATAATTCGATTCTAAATACAGGTCCGTATTGTCAGGATAATGTTGATACGGTTGATCGCGAGTGACGCGTTTGATACGGTTATCAATCTGACAGAGTATCATTATTTAATGGTAGATATAACAGTATAGTTACGAGCTATGGTATGCAACGCATAAGAGAACGATAAGAGCAACATTCCTCTCTCGGGCAATCGACGCGATTAGAGAATGGTAATGGCATTTAACGCCTCTCTTCTTTCTTAATTGCCAAACGGCTTTCGCCATTTTACACATCGATTTTCTCTACAGATAATTCGCCTAATTAACTCCGTTTGCGGCGACTGTTGATATAGATGCGGCTGATAAATCGATAATAGAGTATGACGTTTGCTGATAACTTT